TGGAGGGTTTCCTTCTCCAGAGACAGGCTGGCGACAGGAAGCAAGGGCCTTCTCCCAGTGCCTCCCAGACCTCTTGGGAAGAGGAGACATTTGCAGGACCAATGGGCAGGATGCATCATACAGCGAGCCGCCTCCAGTAAGTGTCAAATAAAACATATGCCCTAGAAACCTCTCTTTTTTCTTGATAAATTGCCCTTTACATGTTCAGGAGAAGGTTTTTTCTTCCTGCCCCTCTTATTTTGAAAACTTGTGGCAAGGTAGTTCATACCCTGGCATTCTAGAAGTGCTCCCGTTTTCCTCTTGTGGCTGCACTGGTGGTAAAGCAACTTTGAGAGTATAACTTCCTGCTAGATAGACTGCCTGGCTTCTTTTGCTTGCCATCCCCAGCCACATTAGATGCGGTCCTCATGTCTTCCTGCTCTTTCCTTGGTGCTAATGCTGCACTGTGCTAATGCTGGGATCTTTCTACCTTCAACTGCTGCTCAGCGTGGGCGGGCAGCTTGGTGCTTTGCTGGAGATGGCCTCCAGCTGGAGCTAGGACGTTCTTGCTCACAGCTTTCCTAGCTGCCTAACTACTGCCCTCGTGACACTTATATTTGGGCTCTCTTCATATACGCACACTTCCGCCCCTTTGACAAGGCTCATTTTTCATGAAGCAGATAATATTCCTCATAAAATGCTGGCAATGACTATATGTGTATAGTGTTCTGATTAGGTAGTGATTTCAAATACTCTTTAGTGGCATTCATTCAGCTGGTAGACTTTCTGCAAATTTACATGCAAGCTGTACCTCTGATGCTGCATTTCTTAATTACTGGTGTACTTTATCTGAGTTGAACATGTAACAGGCCCCTCAGCATAAATTATACCCTGCGTGTGTGTATCCTGAGAATACTTCCCAGGTGTGTGTGGGGGGGCTAAATGTATGTTAAAAAGAACATGCATCTCAGAAAGGATTTAGGAAATATAAAGGACGGGTCTAAAATATCGCCTCATTTTCCAAAAAAAAAAACCTGCTAAAACTTGTAAGAACAATTTAGAGCATTTTTGGCTGGGGCAAGGGAATGCTGTCATGCAAGTCTCTTATATGTCATACATAACTTCATGGTGCCGGCGATGCGGATGTAGACGTTCAGATCCTATTGGCCTTTATAGCATCATATGCCTGTTTTGAGGCAGTGTTTATAGGTCTTGTATTGGCAAAATGAAACAATAACCACCAGAAAATGCCCGAAAATGCTGGCATGTTTTCCTGACTCGCTATTTAAAAACAAAATGGGAAGGACTTCTGTATTTCAGGGTCTACTGGTATAGCTTCAGTCATCGTACAGCTGCCAAAGGCGATGCTCCTGAGGTACGCGCCTGGTGAGCATTTACGAGGAGCAGATACTGGGTTCATCCACAGCCCGCTGCTTCCAGCGGGCCCTCGGCAGTCTCAGCTCTCTTGGGGTTTAACGTTAAGCACTCTGAAAAGGTAGGGGCTCAAACTGTACAAAGATACCGCTCTAGCCTCCTCATACATACCCTTGTATTTTACTGGTACATATTAGACCAAGGGAAAAGGGCTCTTTTGGCAATGAGCGAGGAAACATTCTTTGTGTTGTATCAAGGTACTTGCCTTAGTGCAGGAGCTCAGGGTACAGTACTTAGTGTCACGTGGTTCTGCTAGGTGTAAAATCCTGAGCTCATTTTAAATCAGTATCTTAAAAAAGAAAATGAGGAGTCAAGATTAGAAAAAGAAAGCGTGGCTTCAGTGAGGTCAAAAGGTTGCAGATATTTGTGTTTGTTAGAGTTCTTCCATGGCAGCAGTAGTTGTTGATGTTTATTTTTCCTCACCGCAGTAGAACAGTGTCTGTTAATAATTCTAATAATATAACATCCAAAACAATTGCCATATTTGCCAATTTTTAAAAATTGTGGCTAAATCCAATATTAAAAAAGTGGAATTTCTTTCTTTTTTTTTTTCCCTCCCCAAACTTAGAACACCTGATCTAGAGTAACGGAGCCTGTTCAGAGTGCCTACATGAATGACTTCTGCTCACGAGAAGATCTGAAATACATGTTATGGAATGTGCATTGTAAGCTGCAGCAATTATTGCAAATATACCAGTATTAAAAACAAAACAAAAAAACCCCAACCCTGCTAGAACTGACTCACAGATGGACAAATTTGTTATTGTTTTCATGATCTTTTGCAATGTGTTTGCAGGTTTCCACAGCCTTGTTTAAATTCAAGCAAGGACCTTTTTGCACCAACTTTGCAGGATTTCATTTGTGAGTTGTACATTTAATTCTCCACAGCAGATGGTGATGTGTGGGTGTACTGCTGTATATTTGCAACAGATTCCGTATCCTACAAAATTAATTAAGTGTCTCATGTGCTGATTTAAAATCAGAATTGTATTGTTTATGAAAAGCTAATTCTTGCATATCATTTTGATAGGACCTGTGCAATTCAAACAAAATGCAAGTGAAGAAAAGTCTAAGTGCTTCTTTAAAGCAAATGGATAGTGGCAGCTCTCGTCAGTCATGATGCTCAGTCTGAAGAGCTAATGATCGTGTGTGTTTAAAATTCACTTAAATAAAAATAAGTATTTTGGGCCTCAGTGTCAGTTTCCCCAGATGTTGCTATGAAAAAGGTTGCTAAGGCAGTTAATCAGTGTGCATTTATACCCAGTACAGAAGAGGCCTCAGATTTAAGCCCCTTTTCCTTTGGTGGGTTTCCTTCCTTATCAAGGATTTATTTTTAAATGATTGCTCTTTCATTGGCATTGCTTACATTCATTTGCAAAGTTTCGGGGATTTTATTTTTGCTTCCTGCTAATTTGATAAAGCCTCGTGTCTTTATGAAGACTTTCACGGGTGCCTTGCAACCACGCCGCAGCCTGTCCCGCGCACCTGGGCTTCGGGTCTTGGGGGGTGAAAGAGAGAAAGGGAGCAGCTCCTGCAAGGACGGCCGCAGCTCGGCGCCCGTCGCGAGTGGGGAAATAGTGTCCCTGGGTTTTTGAGTGCTCATTTTGTGGCTACCGTGGCTCCCCAGCATGGGAGCCTTGGTGTGCTGCCTGTCTTGAGGGAAGAGGTGCCACACAAAGAGGTGTCTGCTGGACACCTCTCTGGGCCCTCGGGGGGAACGGGACGGCCTTAGCGGTCACTGAGTTAAACAGGACATCGGGATACCGATCTAAGGCTGCAGACCCTCGTTTGGCTGTGCCGCCTGCCCGAGGGGCAGGGCCTGGGCAAGCAGAAGTGAAACGGAGGGCAGTTGGTTCCTCCCTTTGAAGGGAAGGACCTGACGCAGCGGGAGCGCTCTGCTGAGCTCGGGCCAGGTAGGAAGCTGGCCAGGCTGGAAGGGTCCCAATGCGATTCGCATGTGAGTGTATTGACAAATAGCTAAATCACTCCCTTTGGGGATGATGGCACCACTGTGCTACACCTGGGACGAAGGGGCTTTGTTTAGCGTGTTTGGGGATGGGGGAAGCTGCACCACACCAGTGCCTCGGCCATCTCATGTGCCCATGCAGCACCCCAGGGTGTTGCTTTTTTTTCCCCAGCTTCCTGCAGAAGTTGTCTGCCCCCATGTGATTTACTGATGTTCAGCTATGTCCTGTTATGTCTCCTGGGTTTATAAAGTCAGTTGGTTTTGAAAGAGAGATACCAGACTAGTCTGAGATAGCAACGCTTTCCTGAAGTTATGCTGGCTCCGCTCTCTCATTTAGCACTGGATGTACAATGAATGGCTGAGGTCTGGCTAGCTCAGTCTGTGAGATCTTCAGGGCAGGGAGCAAAGTTTATGTGATCACATGTTGAGCTGGATTTACATCATCTGCCTGTGGTCATTTAACTGAGATGTGCAAGGTGACAGCCCTCCCTGACTCCTCCTGCAGTTGATGGAGACAGGGGTTCCTCGCGGCACCTTCTGCATGTGCCTCTCCCCAGTCATTACCCTAAGCCTCAGCAGACAGTACTCAGTTAAAAGCCACAGTAAGGAGCCACGCGTCCAGGCCACTCTGATGGAAACAATGAATTGTATCGGCCTATGTGTCTGTGCTCGATTGTCACAGTTTCAGTGTCACTAGGTAAGTTGACTTCCCCCAGTAAAAATTTAAAGGTAGCTCACTGCTCTCTTGGATGTGCCAATCATAATTTTCAGCATACTGCTGTTCCCTTTCATTGCAGAGTCCTTCCCTCACTGCGACGGAGGTCGGCTGGAGTGGGGGCGCGCTCGCAACTCCCTCCCCCAGGTGATTTTCCAGTTATGCACCAGGCTTGCTAACTGGGGAGAAAAGAGAAATAGGTATCTTACATCCCTGAGCTGTTGCAGATGAATAACTAAGCTTTGATTAAGCGGAAGGGGTTTGGGAGGAAATAATCTGCATCAAAATCCTGGCCTCTCTCAAGTGAGCAGGAAAAACTCCATCGTGTCTGGTGCAGCCATACTGCTACCTTTACCTGCTAGCCTGCACAGTGATTTTCATCTCATTACTTTTCTAACGCAGAAGAAAGGATGGGGGAAAAAAATAGGTGCTAGAATAACACTGTGTACGCTGTAGTATCTGTTAGTTTTATTACAACCACTATTTCTCATGGATTTATTTTTAATTGAAAGTTCAGTTTTCATTTTATTCTAGCTTGCTGCATGTTGCAGTGTCCTGAAGTGTACATGCATGTGTGTGTGTGTATATATGTACACATATATATACATATATAAACAAACACACAGGTGCATGTGTGTATATATATATATATAAAAATATGCACACACTATCCGAGAATAGATGGAATATATTTATCAGGGCGCAGTCTTTAAATAAAGCAAAATGATAACTTCCATGTTTCAGCATTGAATAGTCAGGTTGATTTAAGGATGAATTAAAGAAGTTGAAATTTAAGAACAAACTCATTCTGCGGCCTGAAATTAATTATTATAACCAACATGGGAGCTTAATCTCACAAAAACACAAGTTTATTAATAGGTGAAGGAGCGGAAGAACCGCACAGTCTATCCAGTCCTCTGATATATTTTTCCTAATCTCATTTATGAAATTCAATGTCGCAGTGTTACAAGGTACATATTTTCAATTAGTGAATGTTACAGAACATAAACATGAAGTGAATATTTGTATTAAAGGGATTCAAACAAATCAACTGAAAGAGATATCAACTCTAGTTATAATACATGGCGAAAAGAATCAAATTTGGAATGTGATCATATATACTGTTGTACAGCAGATAATATGTAAACTGTTTCATATTGCATGACATTCATAGCATATTCATAGAAAATTCCGTCAAACTAAATGATGGCTTAAAAACTGTATAACGCTGAAGTTTGCTACTTTTGTTTAATCTTGATATTGACTGAGTCAATATTTTCATTGTGTAAAAATACTGTATATCGTAGAAATCCTTCAGTATCTTCCACATTCAAATAAATAAAGTTAGTTAATTACAATTACAGTTTGGTATTTGGTGTTAAACATCTTAAATGTCCGATTCCTTCTAACCTTCAAAAAGAAAAATAAATAATGAATATGCTTCATCTGGTTTGACTAATACCTTTAAGACCTTGCCTCTGAAATCAGACTATAACATCTACCACATTTGAGGTGTGGCTGGGATTACTAAAACATCTGAACACGGTTAAAAAGGTGGAAAGTCCATAGCCATTCTACACACTTTCATTTATTGTCTGGACAATTAAAGTACAAATAATTCAAACACAACAAGGTTATGAAAAAAACATTTACAATACTTTCCCTCAGAAATGATCTAAACTAGCAAGGTTAACATGAAGTCATTCATTATAACTAAAGTATACAACTGCCTGGTCCTAAGAAAGATTTTTTAAATTATTATTATTATTCAGATAGTAAAACACATCGTAGAGAAAAGATTCTGACATGCCTTCCCCACTAATGCTTAGCAAATGCATCAAAACTTTCCCAGCAAACTGCGCTCATTCATAGCAGATGATGTATTAAGGTTTCCCTGAACATTGAATGAGTGTTCCTTTAAACTAAAATCTAACATTGTTAAAGTAAAAAACTGATAAAATTATGATGCAGCCTTTGCTTTAGTTATTTGTCTACTACAAAAGTTTGCCTCTTCAGTGTGAAAAAACAATACTTAGTCTACATGCAGTTAGTGGGTATAGCATGGAAAAAATGCACAAAATAAGCACAAGTTATAAATAACCATAACGTTTTATTACCATTAAGACTAAACTTGTATTGAAAAGATTTTATATAACAAGACAAGAAAAGCAATAGCAAATTTAACTATCAACTAGATTATGCATAGCGAGTAACTGTTTCTAGTACTCAGGGAAGAGCATGACCCTTTTTTGTTTTAAATATATAACCGTACAAAGCACAAACATACTAAAATGATCAGTGCACTGGACATGGGAGAGCACCCCCTCAGTCATTTTGTTCCCTTAGCTCTGTTTTCCCCAATCTGAATTACATTAAAATAAAGACCCAGTTGTTTTCTTTTCTACTGTGCAGTAAGAAAAAATATTCACAACAAACATGACAATATATCAAACAATATTTCTACACAAGTTACCTTGATACCTCTGTCACTTAAGTATCATAAGAAAACATTTTAAGACATATACAAACAAAACTAGCAAAGTGTTACAACTTATAATAAATTAACCAAAAGAAAAAATAACTTTATATATATATTTATATTATATATACACATACACACACAACAAAATGACACAATAATATGCTTCTTCCCATAGTTTAAGTAAACAAATAAGTAGACTAGCCAAACTAGCTATATTTGATTTTGGCCATATGCATCACATCGGCAATTAAATAAATAAGTGTTTCAAGCAACATAAACAGTGTTCCAAATGTGCCAACACAGCCCAATTATATTAGCATGGGCTATAAAGTGAATTTGAAAATTCTTAACAAATTTAAAGCAAATGTATTTTTTTTCTAAACACATTACATTTAACTATGATACTAAGATATGTAAATAATTTTGTAGCACCTACTGCTCAAACCAAGGAAGTTTTTGATCAAAAAATTAATTTTTTAACTTTTGTTCTTCAGATATCCCATACTGATGACTTAAAGAAAAACCGTCTTGCAACTCATCTCCTTGCTTTTGGGTTTTGACTGTGGGTAACTGCGTGCCTGGGAAGAACACTCTCCCGTACTGTATTTAATATTTTTATTACATGCTATGAAAAGATACGAAGATCATCTGTTTGTAGCCCATCCTTCAAAAAACAATCTACTAATCCAGTTTAAAACACACATCTTGATCTCTAAAAAGTTACCAGTGCAGTATGAACATGACAAAGTTGTCAATTTCCCCTAAATTAGCCAGTCAAAATATTTTTTTCTCAAATCCAGATTCTCTTGTAAAAATTCTTTATATTTTATAAAAATAGATTTTTCTTGAAACCCATTTTCAGCAAAGAGACCACCTCTTTGGCAACATTGTTAATGTTATTTAAATTGTTATGTCATCAGGTATCCCCCTTTACCCCATTCCCTAACAGAAGACTGTTTAGTTCACATGATATAAAAGAAAAAAGGAAAAATAAAAAAAGTTGCAAAATTATGTTCTTCTTTTTGCAATTTTTATTGTTCCTCTTTAATTTATGTGGGGGGGTTTACCAATCTGATTGGATCAATGTTTTGAAAAGAAGAAAAGAAAAGAAAAATCTTTTTTTCTTGCTTTTAATCCCATTAGTTCGTAAAAATTGTTTTTGTTTTATTTTTTTTTTTTCAAATGAGTGAATGGTCATCTTAAAAAGACCCACCTTCAAGGAAGGTAGTAAAACTAGCTGGCCGGGTAAAAATCCCTGCACATTGTTATCTATGTATATTATATTCAACAACGACAGCTATGAAAGAACATTCAATGCATCAAAGGTTTTTTTTTTTTTCTAAGCATTATAAAATCCTTTCCTGTTCATCACAGGATATCCAATGTTTTAATACTTAGGCAACACTGGCTTATAAAGTCCATGGTTGAATATAAGCCTTGAAGAGTTTTTTTTTTTGTTTTGTTTTGTTCGTATATATATTTTAGTAAGTAAGGATATGAAATTCAGGATTTGTTTGTTTTATTGGTTTTAAAGGAAACTTGCAATACTCTGTCTCCTAAACGGTATCCATTAAGGCTGGCAATCGCCATGGCAGCTTCGTCGTAGTTGGTCATGGTGACAAAGCCAAATCCCTTGCACTTGTTGGTGTTGAAATCACGGATCACCTTGACATTATTGACTGCTCCAAAGGGACCAAACAACTGCCACAGCACACTTTCATCTGAGTCGGGAGACAAGTTGTAGACGAAGATACACCATCCAGTCCCAGTATGACCAGGGATATTCATTCCAACAAGGCTCGTCATACCATCAATTGTGATCGGAGAGAACCTACCAAATAAAAAGAGGGGTCTATTCTAAATATATCTCTTGGCACAAAGTACACGGAACCAAGACTTTAAAGTAAATAAACAATCCAATGTTAATTAGGGTTCATGATCCAATCCCTGGAAGATGGGCTTCATAGCCACCTTTGGTCTCTAACTCCTACTTAAGTGGAGGGGAGCTGTCCTAAATATAAAGACCAAATCTGGGCATTAAGGTGTCTCCCCTCAAGCACAAACCCTACCTAGATGTATACAATGACCTAATAAAAAAAAATGCTTAAGCACAATCTAGGTCAAAAAGGGCCTGCTCATGCTATCATAAATAGGAGTTCATGTAGTAAGGCCTGTAGCAATTTGCCACATACTTCCATTATTACAATAACGTACTTTCAGGGCCATGGACAATCTATTGCCTTACTTTTTACTAGTTTGCGGTGAAAAATCAGACCCCTTAAGATTAAATTTAAAGATTATTCTGAAACACTATTGTCAGGACTCAGCTATAACACTGGACCCTTTAGCTAAAAATACTACTAAGTTTAGGGAGAGCTCTGTAGGTGGTAAATTCCGATTCTCTTCCTAACAGTTCTTAGTAGACATACATTGCATTGTTCTCAGAAAAGTCCTAGAGCTGGCCACATATATTAAAGAAGATTTATGCAGCAATTGCAGGGTAAAGGAGTGCATAAATCTAATCAGTGAACATCTGCCAGCTAATACCTTCATACCGTGAGACTTCACGGTCCATGGTAGGATCCTAGGCTCTTTGAATAGTCAGTGGAGACAGACATGCTCCTAGAACATCTAATTTAGCATCCTAACTTTCTTCATTGTCTTTTGTGGCCTATTTTCTGAATTTAAGCACTAAATTAGAAACCGAAAGTCAGGCAGTGTGTTTACAAACACAGAACCATCATAGGATAACGTGAAGGTGGTCTCATCCAACCTCCTGCTCAAAGCAAGGCTAACTCTGAAATTAGAGTTGGCTGCTCAGGGCCCTGGCCAGGCAAATTTTGAGTTATCTCCAAGTATGGGACTCCGCAGTCTTTCTAAGCCCCTTCTCTAGGACCATGCTCACTGTGAATGATTTTTCCCTTATATACAGCTGAATTTCCCCTGCTGCAACCTGTTACTGTTGCCTCCTGTCCATTTGCAGCGCATCTCTGAGAAGCTCCATCTTCTTTCTAATGCTTCCTCTAGGTAGTTGAAGACAGCTGTGAGGTGTTAAACTCTGAATTTGCCTTTCCTGAACTTCACGAGGCTCCTGCCAGCCTGTTCTTCCTCCAAACGGCAGCGCTGGCCTGCAGCACGCTGACTGCCCCTCCTCTCCCCCCAGTTCAGGGTCACTCAAATACAATGAGAGCCCATTGCAGCCCATCATTCAGGTTACTAATGAAGATGTTGAGCAGTACCAGTCCTCAGGTTCAACATAATTTTCCTTTCATCAGTTTGATTAAAAAAGTGACACGACTTCTGAAGCAATGTTTTAAAACAACAACTACATATAGGAAAAGCCTTAATAAAAATCTTTTCACATGTAACTTGGATGTGATGGATTTTAATATCCCAAACGAGTAATAATTCCTCAGGACTTTTTGAGAGGGGACTGAGGGAATGGAAGGGGAAATATCTCACAAAATAGCTGAGTAGGCAGTTAGTTCTCATGCTCTCCAAAATTTCTGCTTTGACATTTCTAACATTTTCACATGCATTTAGCAAACTGTATTACGCAGTGTCTATTAAATAACCATAAAAAAACTACACACTTTGATGACTGCTCCCCATTCTGCTGACTCCTGACAGCACTTTATATGTATATATGAGGAAACGAGACACTTTGGAATATATATCTTAAGCTGAGGAACATCACTTGGGTGTACCTATACTATAAACGAGCAGTTTACAAATGCTCACAGCACTGGGCCCTCAGACACACATACAGGTTTACAAAAGCCATTTATAAGAAAGTAAATGGCAATTTTCCTACCGAACTTCACTTTTCACAACGTCCTTTAATTTTTCTCTTGGATACTGAAACTAGCAATATTATCACAATGGTTCAGCACAGCTCTACTATTCTGCAGTATTTCCCCAGCTGCTGAAAACAAAGCTAGCTGGACAAGGCCAATTTATACTACTTCTCTTCACCATAAGACAAGGTGAAATTTTAAAGAAGGACAAGACTGAGAGCTTGTAAATGATCTACAAGCCAACAGCTTAAATTTCTTTTCAAATTTAGAGATGGGACTTTAAGCCCAATGCTGACAAGTAGAAACTGTGCTAGTAATATACGTAAGCCAGCAAAAACTTGTTTTCTGCAATGTCTGAATTTAACATGAGGCACAATGCTAATGTATACACTCTGTAAGTGATGTTACTGCAAAATCTGTACAATGCACAAAGCTGTGTGTGTCACACTATGCTACATTTTAAGGTTTTGCATTTTTAAGATACGTTTCCCTGATGTAAAGAATTAAAGTTTCATATAGTCCACTGGTGAGAAGCTTTCTCCTGGAAACCTTAAGAAGCCGTATAGCTTTCAAATATTTATGCACTCTGAGCACAGAAGCTGCTGTAACCCCCAAGAAAATATACGTGTAACTAGTACGAGTTTATTGACACAAATATAAGACAGCCTACTGCTAGCAGCAAAGCCATAAGTTAGGTAGGTGATCTGAAATTAGTGTCAATAAAACTTTTGTTCCACATCAGCACATCTCATATTCTATCAGTACTACAGTGAACAAAACAGAAACTGCACTGAAGATGTTTTAGAGGCAGTTTCAGAAATTTTTACCGATACCGTATTTTTTGCAACCCTTTGCCAGTGCAGTGAGTACAATTGTTCGGGATTTGCTGGGAGAGGAAAATAACTAAGTCACCTAAAGAACAACTATAAAAAAAAACCTATAGTGATTTTTAAGATTAACATTGCAGAAGCTATCAGCAGACTCCGAACACTAAGAAAGCAGATGCCTAACTTCAAAAAGGTAGGTGACTAATTTTCTTGGCATCTGTAGATCATATGAAATCAGAAATCAAATTCTCACTTGTTAGGACTAAGTATTGTCTGTCCCGCACCAAAGGCCAGTGAAATTCCGCAGAAGTTACATATTCAGCGAAAAATCCCTGAACGAAGCCATCTTTCTGACAATTCTTTGTAACTGACAGCTACTCGAGACCAAGCGCTCTGGAAGGTTTTTGGCAACGTATCACGGAACAAACGAGAGGGGGAACGCAGGGGAAGCAGCGTGTGGTAAAATCAAGTGGTAATTTCTGACTCACCGTATCACTGTCACCACTAGCTATATAGTTAATAAAACAAATGTACTAATAAATTGATGAGGTAGAGCTTCTGGAAAGATACTACAGCTCTATTTTCAGCATTACTTTCACTTTCAAACATATTCTTAAGACCTGGATTTATCTGCATGATAGCTACTGCGGCAGAAATGTGTCCACTACTAGCTACTTTAAAGATATACTTACCATACCATTTACAGGATGAGCTTTAAAAAAAAAAAAAGCTCAAATAATTTTCAAATGTGGCGAGTAGACCATTTCAGAAGATTAAGAAGTGTTTTCTCATCTTAACTGTGGGGGGATGGCTGGACATCTTTGGGTAACATCAGGAATAAGACTACGCCTTTATTTTGCTGTGAGGTTGGCTTGCGTTGATGTGTGCCATTAGAAAAAACACTAACAATATGTCATCTCATTTTAGCTATCAGATCAAACATGGAACATATTCATGAAACAGCATAAACGTTTACAAATCAGCTGAACTTTAACACGCACGTGCACACACAAACACACACACATCCCTATTTTAAACAAACAAAAAAATAAATCTCAAGAACCAAGAAATATTTGCAACAAATTATCAAACCTGTAACAAAAGACACTTAGGGCTGATTAAGGTGCACACAGCTATATTTCAGACTCAACTTGTGAAGATGGCAGATGTAGGAGAATGAAGATCTTACTGTGAGATTTAGACAACAGCAGTATAATTCCATTTTTAGCGGGTAAGGTTTACATTATCAGATCAGAGATTAGTTAAAAACTCAAGTTAATAGTTTTGATTCTGGACAAAGTGCCATTTAGCAGGACGACTGGAGTTAGAATGCTTGTAGCTGTTGCACCTAAACCATTTGAGAAGCCCACCTGTAAATAAAAAAAAGTTGGGGGGAAAAAAAAAACAACCCACAGAATTTGTGTGCGTGGCCTTTAAAGTAACAAAACCAACTGAAGTCCAAACTTAAAAAGAATTTGACATGCTGGTGGAAGAAAAGAAGGAATTAAAAAAAATAAAGTTAGTGAATTAAAAAAGTAAATTGTAGCACCAATCTGTGCCAACATGGACATCTGGCAATCTGTGGAATTCTAATTACCTCTTTACGCCATAGGCCATATTAAGCAAATTGTCCAGCCTGAAAAGAGAAGGAGGGTCTTTGGGTTAATGTCTCACAGATGGCAAGATCGCTCAATGGAACTATTATTAATAGCGTTCCATTTTCAAAGAAGAAACGTTCAACAAGTTTCCCACACATCTAAGGAGTTTAACAACTAGCGGCCTGCTCTGTTAAGTTTCAGATTGTGTTTAAATTTCCATCACAGCATATAAAGTAATTTAACTTGTCTGCACCCTTAATGAAAAGCTTCATTCTCAAAGTGCAATTTAAAAAAAATCTACTTTTGATTTGTCTTTTTAAAACTATATTAGTATAAAACTTTTGCAAATAATTCTACTGTTCACCTTACACTTACATTTAACTTGGAACTGGAAAAAAGTCTTGTTTCTAACTGCTTTAACATAAAACTTCTCATTAGGATACATTAAATAATAATCCCCCAGAATACATCAATCTAAATGACTACCAAGTTTTGCAGAATGAATGTAAGTATCTGCATTACACTGGAGTACACTACAGTAAGTCCTTTATCCATGGAAGGACTCAGTGATAACCTCAATGGAAACTGTTAGCATGCCAAAGATATTAAATTTATATTTGGTTTTATATCAGTCAGTTAATGACTGACTTTTCCTATGCTCTTCTTTAATTCATTACCACTTTTCTACACTGAAAAATTTACATTACTTTTCAATAATTTTCTAAAGGCAATATGCAACTCAGTTATGCCAATATGTCCAAATATTTATTATTCTTTTTCTTTTTTTTTAAATAAAGACTTATTTAAATGCTAGGTTGCCTGAAACTAATTCTACAACGTAAAAGTAACAAGAACAGAACGTATTGCCAATACTGGCTTATGAATCAGATGGAAAGAGCATATTCAGAATGCAAAGCATAAAACATCCCTGAAAGTACCTGAAGAATCATACCAAAGACTAACACAAGGTCTCTTTAAAGTAAGAGCAGGTATCTCAGGCTAATAAATTTAATGATACAACTACTGACTGGCACAGACCCAGCTTTTTTCCTGTTACCAATCCACTGTCATTAACATCAAAGTGTGAGATGCATCAAAACTGTAATAATACAGCAGAAAATAAAAGCATTACCAAAAAAAATCAGAAAGAACAGGTTGGTAACTGCTCATTTGATTATCAGTGTAACTCTGTTCTGTCCTCCCTTTTTCTATGAGACTTCATGAGATCTGATTGGACAGTACTTCAGCTGTTTTAGTAAATACAACATGACTACTGCTGTCAGCAGATTTTCCTCCTCATTCTCCAGGAAAGAATATTTAATTTTACAAAGAAAATCAGGTCAGCCTATGCAACTAAAGCATATTTTTCTGCACAGCACCTGCCCTACACCTTCATCACTGGTAGAACTTCAGCTCCTTTCCGGGTAATTACCTGAATCTCTGAGCCTGGTGGTGAAGTGGTCCAGGGTAGCGTCTGTTGGGAGACTGATACAGCTGTGAAAGGAGTGCCTGGCTTGTTTTCTGGCTGGGGTTATTGGCAAACTTCACAGTAATTGGTTCTGTAGCACCGCTAGGCTTCTGGCCATTTAGTCCCTTTATGGCTTCTTCCGCCTCTATTCTCTTATCAAAACGGATAAATCCCACACCTCGAGAAACACCTGGGTAGTAAAGACACGCGAACAAATTAATATACGTAGACGAGGCTGTTTGTACATAACGAAACATAAACATTAGTTTTTACTTAAGAACAGAATACATGGCTTGCAAATTTAAAGACTCCCTATAAAGAAAAATGTCATTCCCCAGTTGTGTTCTTCACCATCAGACTCCACCATATTTTACTCAAACAACATTCTGCATTTTGAGACCCTGCCATTAAAGGAGAGACAGGTATGCCTCCAGACAGTTACATTTATAGAGAGCTAGGTACTGCGTTTTGCACCAAAATCACGTTGCCTTAAAATACAACAGTCAGTAAGCATTTGTGTTTTGCCGTTTCCAGAAAAATATGAATGTATTAAGAAAATTTTTTTTGACCTGTGACTTGATCAACCAGAATCCGTGAGGTGATGATGCGCCCATATTGTGAGAATAACTGTTCTAATTCTTTCTGGGTCATTGTTTTTGGAAGGCCGCTGACATACAAGTTAGCATCTCTGATTGATGCTGAACTTGGACGGGCATATGACACCTGGGGATTTAAGAGAAGGAAATGCACATTAGTTAGCTAGAATAATCCTAGAGTTCAGAGGCTACCTGTTCCGCAAAACCAACAAAACCAGGAAAGGTTAAAAGAACAAAGGAAAAGTTAGAGATAGCTTAAAAACAAATGCAAGGGTTCTTTAAGTGCAGGCACAAAATAACTATTGTTCAGAGGTAGATTAATGTGCAACTTCCTACGCACAGCTTTGTAAATTTACCCCTTTGGGCTGTGGGTGTACAGATGATTTACTGTATCCAACATATAATAACCTTAGATTACATGTAGCATTCTGAAGTTCCTGTGGTCCCCCCCCTCTTTTTTTTTTTTTGAAGTGTCTGATTATAAGTGATCAGGCTATTTGCAGAGTGATCTTCGGTGCTATCTTTCTTTGTGTTTTCATCCTGAGCCGGCAGGATCTGTTCTGGATGAACTATAAAGTGCTGGTGAAATTAGACTAAATGAACATCTGCTTGGGGAACTGTATGCTGACACTCATTGTCGTATCTGCAATCTATCAGTAGTTTCCTTGCGCTATAAGCTCAAAATCAGACCATAAAATATTACGGCCAAATAAACAAGAAAATCTAGCCGAGGCACTGCACATATATTGTCAGAAAATTATTAAATAAACTCTCTGAACTGCTGTTCTATCTATGGAAATAGAAATCCAGAACTAAGAGGAAAAAAATAAGATTTACAATTACAATACATGCATAAAAACCCTCTGCACTTTTAAAATTATATATCTACAATTAGAATAGTATATATATTTGAAGTAATATAAGTACTTCCTGGATAAAGCTTAATGGCAAATATTCAGCATGGATCATGAAGAATTACTTTGCAGCACATCTGAAACAGTGTCGGATCTAAACCTGAATATTTTACACTTCATCTTGACTTATTTAAATATAAACAGATCAGTACTTTTCTGCATTATGTCTTAAAACGCATCTTGGGAGGAAACGGGGGGGGTCCTGTCATGAATACAATGCATTCAGCAATTGTCTTCCCCTCTTCTCCAGCCTTAGCCCAAACACAAATGATGTCAAATGGATGTCTTTGTGTTTTATGTGTCAAAGAGTTGTCTTTATCTGCTCCACACCTAAAAATAGATGTTGACTCAACACAGAAAATGATGTGAATGACTAATATTCGCTTCTACAATCCTCTGTACATAATAGGAGACAAACTCTAAAGACTTTAGATTTTAAGATTTTTGGCATCTTCTTTATAACTTGCATGTTTGTACATAACCTTTTAAAACTAACATTTAGAGAGAGGGCTAAAGAGAGGAGGTGGAAAAGTCAGGGAAAGACGAGCAAAAGAGGTTAGTTAAAACATTTACATCAACTGAGGCACGCTGAGGCAGCAACGCACAAAGGCAGTCACAGAAGTAACAAGCAGAAGTGTTCAGAAACACAGACTGGTGCTTAAAAGAAAAGAAAATTGGGGTGGAAACTATTATGTGCCCTACTGATTTAGGACGTTATGGCCCACGAACTCTCTCCGAGGTGCACGCTTTTAAGTTGCACAGTCACAGTTCCCAAACTCCCTCTGATGCACCAAGACCAGCATACACGTGACACCGCTTGGCTCTTAGGTAACTGAAGACCAAGCTGGATGCTTGGGGCAGAGGAAACTAAGGATAACTACATTGTGCTTTTCTCTATAGATACCATGCTTAAAAATATTGTTTGAGGCTGTGCTTGGTTTGGTGGTGTCGCATTTTGGTGTCTTCTCATTTAACTCTCCACGTCGGTGCTGCTGCAAAACTGTCATACGACTTGGAGCAGGCTCTGGGAAGACTGGCATGTTCTGCTCAGAAATGACCCAAGATTAAAATAATCTGGCTGCCATGTAAGGGCTGGGATACAAAACCTGGGACCAGCCTAGGGGATTCACTGTGTGCTGTCCAACTTATGCCAGGCCCAGACCAGTACGATTAACCCCCAAGCCTTCAAGAGCATTGCGGTCCCGGAGTTAAGTCCCCTCTCTTGAGCCAGAGAAGTTCTGCTGTTGACCTCAATGCGGCCAAGACGGCGCTGGAGCATTCAGCACATGTCTCTACAAAAATACATTCTGCAAACATCTTACCTTGAGAAGGGCACTGTCAGGTTTCAGACAGCTAGCTTTTAACCTGCTTTAGGAATAACAGTTTAAAAAACACTTAAGAGACTTGGGTGAGGGCTAGGGATCTTATCTACTCCTCAAAACTGAGAGCTGCAAAATTAATAAAGTTCCTGGGAAGAGAGCCAGGGGTTTCCTTTGGGTTTTCTCACACTGGCACATTTACTAACCAAATGTCACATCACTGGGAACATGAAGAGTAGGGGAATATGCAAAACCACCCATATATATGGATATATATATATAAAAAGATATACACATGTATATAAATATATAAATATACACCCCCCCGCCCATACCAAAAATATTCTACCCTGTCCTTGTGAATGTCATGCAGACAAGCACTGGACAGATATACTGTGTACTTTCTCGCAAATTCATCTACTCAGAGCACATGTAAACACGTATCGCCGCTCAGATCTGATTTTAATTCCTCCTGCAATCAAACATTCAGGTTGCAGGGGAGACTGGGCCACAAGCTGCCAAAAGCAACTCAGCTGTCTTTCATATCAAGGAGAAAAGGTTGTGAGTTGAATGGATGCAAGGCTAGTAATGTCAATTATTTATCAGCTTTTGAATCTTTTTCATCCTCCCTCTCAGGTCAGCCAATGACAAATCGATTGGTTAGACCGTGTCATCCTGCTTTCAAGCTATTACTCAACTAGCACTGCAAACTAGGTGTATTCCAGATGTATTAACTATCAAAGGAAGGAAATACCGGCCCTGACCCTCCACCGCAGCAGAAGTTCCCTGTGATGTAAAAGTTATTATGGAGATGAGCCAAAACAAGCTCCCATTTTGTCACTGAAACCTGTAAAGCACTCAGTAAGGACGCTGTATTAATTCTTTATATTGACACTTCTCTCCCATTAGGGATCTCTTTTTATTTTTTTGCTCACAGCAGTGTTAGGGCCCTATAATGAAATACCCCACTGAAAAGGGAAAGAATATGGAAATCTGAACCGTTTTGAATTCAAGTAAATGAGCTAGAGTATGCCAAACTATTGTTTGGCTCAGGCACTTCTCAGCATGGAAGTGTTTGTCTGTTTATATGATAGTTGCAGGTCTAATGATAGTGTTATATTTCAGTGCATAAGATCATTCTAGAGTTCTTAGGTCAAATTTGCAAGGAAGATAATAAAATATTACCCAATTCACTTTATGGCTCACTAACCTCCAATGTTCATTTCTATAAATATACACACAGTAACAGTGGAAAAAAAAAATGCATTTGCTAGGATATTTCTCATCTGACATTGAACACCAGTTAGCTTGTGTAAGTGCTTCTCTTCAGTAGTCCTCTCTTAAGAGACTGTGCTACTGTCTCTAAACACGATTGGAGACATGTAGAGGCCAGCATTTCATAACTTCCATGGAAATGCACAATTATTTTCAGTTCATGAGCATGGAAAAAATCCGCAAGTTAGGGCAGTTATTTTTCCCTATTGATTCCTACCCATTTTCCCATGTAGAAAACTTCTGGAAAAATGTCTAACCTCGAGACTCTTCAGAAGGTAAATTGACGCAGTCCAGCCTTTGCAAGCCAGACAGCCTGCAGCAAGAGCACCTGGAGGCATGAATATATCCCATTTGCCTTAAATAGGCAAGGCTCTTGACTCTTAATGGCAGCCATTTTAACGTTGACACTCAACCATTTCACTGCTGCTCATCTGAAAAGATGCCTTCAGCTCCTATACTAATCCTGGACTTCTCAAACCTTAAGTCCACCTTTAGAAGACTCCTCCCAAAAGTAGGTCTAAATAGAGCGAGTCAGAAAGACCTCGCAGGCTTCTGCCTGCTCCAAAGCCGAGCGGCACTGATGTGCTCTGCCAGCACAGCCACCCTGCCCCTGGTCACGACATCTGCCGACTAGCAACCTAGCGGCTCCCGCCTTTTAAAAACAAAACTTCTCTTCTCTGGGAAGAAACGTGCATCACGCTCTGCATCTAGTGTTACTAATCTGGGGAACGTGAGACCAGACAGGAGCCTTTAATCAGAGCGCGCTGCACGGCAGCACAGGCGTCCCCAGGCCACCGAACCAGCCAGCTGATGGTACTTCTAATCCCTGAGAGACGTATCTCCAGCCTCTAGCAGGTAAGGTGCAGCCAGTGTTAAATGACTCCCTGGACACCTTTCACAAATTGCTTGTATAACACGTTCCAGTGACAAAGGAAATAAACAACTTCATAATGACCTTACTAATTCTGAAAGACGCTCCCTCGCCTCTTTGCATGAGGAGCTCGCAGACGTAGGATTTCTTGCATGATTTTGCATGAGTCACCTAATTTTTTTCTGTTCGAGGTCCAAACGTGTAAGGCAGGGACGACACTCCCTTTCACCCTCGCCCTCTCCTGCTTATTCCATTGCAAGCCCTGGAAGCACTAAACAACGACCGGTCAAAGACTCCTCGCAGGTAAGCGAGCACAATCTTACTCGTTTCACCCACACATAAGACCAGGGAACGTGTCAAATTTGCCTAAAGCAAGAGGACAGAAGAGAAACAGATTCCTTACAGCCACTTCAGGGCCCTTGTGCACGCCCTAATTCTGTGCAAAAATCCAGGTTTGAGAAACCCTCCTTTAAAAGCTATGCACTTTGTCAAAACAAACACACACAGAAAAGCCTCCGGTCCAGATGCTGAAGATCAAAAATCCACAACACCTTCATGTCTGCAAAATGCAATACTTTCTCTTCTCCAAGTCCTTGGATGGGGGACGGTACGGGAGTGACAATGCACTTTACTGTTGAGTGATTTAATATAATTTTACCAAGATTAATTATGATTGCAGGTAAGATACAATGGTCCATCCCATCATTTCAGGAAAGATGTCCACAGATAATAACCTAGAAGCACTCTG